CCACATTTGTTTGATCAGGTAAATAAAATTTTATGACAAGTGCCTTATATTATGTTGATATATTTGGTTAGATATATTTAACACTAGAATGAGAATATCTTCGCCACATTCTTAATCTTTTACCCACATTTAGTTGAACAGGTAAATTAAATTTTTATGATATGTATCTTATATGGTATTTGGACATTTGGTTATATTTGCATTTAAAACTAGTATGAGAATATTCTCGCTCAATTCTTAATCTTTCGGAACACACGGTATATATATGAGGGGTTCCTTGTTTGGATTTTTCACCCGAGGTAATAGTTTTACTAGATTAGGGTTTGAGCGGGAGTGTTACCATTTTAAAGAGAGAGTATATATATATATATATATATATATATATATATATTATATACACAATATATATACATATACATATATTTTATATATAAGAAAATAAAAAAAAATTAAAAAAATTAAAAAATTTTACTGTTCCGGGCCCGGACCGGGCCCGGGCCGGGCTCGCCAACGGCGACCCCGGCTCTGACTCTGATGATCGACAGGAATAGTGGAATTCAGAACTACCGAGCGCACAACTATATATTTTCATCAGTTACAAAATCCACTCAATTGTTCTGCGCTAGCTGCTGCATGTATAGTCTTCTTCTCCTTTCCGCCACGTTCATGAAACTGTACATTTGTTGTCTGACTCTGATGATCGACAGGAATAGTGGAATTCAGAACTACCGAGCGCACAACTATATATTTTCATCAGTTACAAAATCCACTCAATTGTTCTGCGCTAGCTGCTGCATGTATAGTCTTCTTCTCCTTTCCGCCACGTTCATGAAACTGTACATTTGTTGCTACTATATGACGTACAGACGTAGCTAGAACATGTTTGTGGCATTTGCAATGTTACGTGTGATAGCCAATGTCACTAACGTTTCGATTGGCCATCATTTTGAGGAGATTGAGACGTGTCCGGCGACAAAGGTCAAAAGCATTATATTTATAAAGTGATGAAATTAAGGGAAATTCCTCTATATGATTGGTGACTGTAATTGAGTTATACTAGTCTAGCTATCAATTTCTAGCTAATGACTAACAAAAGATAGCTACATCCACGTGGAGCACGTAGTAATAAGAGCATTGTACATAGGGTAAATGGAATTCAAATCTAATTAAAAGCGAGATAGATTTTATACTCAAGGAATGAAAGAAAATATAAATGATAATTATATCTCACTATCACAATAATATTATACACTGCTGTCATGGTTGCTAAGTAATAAATAACGTTTGCTAATTAAACGGATTAGACGTCCGGCCAATCGACAGGGTTTGCAAAATCAATAAGTTGTTAATCGGTTGCGTTTTGCAAACCCAAAAGTTTCTGTCAAACAAAGCCAATGTCTTGAGACTTCAAATAGAAGTATGTATTTTTTTCATGTACTATTGTCACATGCACTTGATTGTCCAAGATGGATTGATATTAGTAAGGAGCAGAGATTAAAGGTTTAGGCTCCTAATGAAACTTTCTCTTGAAGCTTAATGCAAATAGGTCAAAAGTGTCTGCGGACGATATCCCATTGATTAAAATATAAAATCATTAAAACGGGAGAAAAATGAATGCTTTCGAACATATGAAGAGTTTCAAGGACACTGTGGTCATACAATGACCGACATATAAATGGATACTCTCATCTATAAAAAAAGTAGTTAAGAGACCATTGCAATATCATAAGTACTGGTTTTAATGGATGGTGGTTGTTTATGTGAGAAATTGTATGGGTAAATGGATGTTTAGAGGAGTTTAGAGTCCCCTAATTTTACTTAGATATCTAATCAATCAGAAGGAAGTACACTCCTACACAGGAAATAACCATTAGAGAACGGGAGTTTATTGCTCCGGTGTGTCCTCGGATGTTCAAGTTAGTAATAGATTAAGAATTTTTGTAGATTTTTTTGCGTAACTTAGAATAGTGGAGATTACACACTATCTATAAAGGGTTGTCAAGGGCACATTAGTAATTTGATCGGATCAGTGTAGTTGGCTGATTAGATAACACATTACGCGTGCAGTAGCCAGTCAAATGAGTCACCTTTGCATTTAATGTGACAGTCACAAAATGACTGAAGTGCTAGTATGGTCTGACGAGTCATAACTTTAGCCCAAGGAGTCATAATGACTTTGAACCCACATAAATTTGATGGTGTTTGGGCGGCGAAGTACGCTTGTTGAAGCTGATAGATCGTCTTGTCATTTGAGACATTCGTTAGCGAGTGCTCGAGTAGAAGATGCCTTTTGCCATAGACATAGCTTCTTTTAGCGTATTGATAGGGGAACAAAAGTATGCACTATAAATTTGTAAAGGATAACTATCAAGTTAAAATATAGTATAGATGTCGAATCTACCATAAAGGAGCGTGTTTGGAAATGCCTAAGTTTAGTCTTGGAAAAGTATGACAAAGAGGAGTGAAATAGAGTGTGTAGAGATGTAGAGGGGGAATTCTCAAAAAAAATTAAAAGAGATAAAATAAGTGGGAAGAGGGAGGAAACAAATAAAAGAAAAACAAAGATGCAACTGAAAAAATAAAAAGAAATGAAAACAAGAAAAGATGGAGAAGTAGGAAAAAGAGAAAAAACAACAAAATTAAAACAAAAGGAGGAATATCAAATGAGAAAGGAAAAAAAAATCAAATCAACAAAGATTGGTTGAAGAAAACGTTGAGAAGTTAGCAATCTAGAATTGAACTAACTAGTTAACATCAATTAGGATTTATGAATTATTATCTTTTTATTATATTTTGCTTTAAATTTACTAAGAAAAGATTATTAAACCAATTAAAGAAAACATAATATATCAAATTGTCATCCACAAAAAAATTCCATTCGTAAATAGAACAAGCAACGAGAGAATAATCCTAGAAATGAATAAGTTTAACCTAACAAACTACTAAAATAAGCATGGATTATCAAACATTGTTTATATCAATTAGTTTTCTAGTTGATTATCCAAAAAATAATCATTTTAAACTTCAAAAAATCAATCCATAAAACATAAAAGAAATTAAATTAGTTTCACACAATCCTAGATTTTCTACATGAATTAGTTACTCATATTGAATAATGAAATAAGAAAATGAAATCTACATTAATAAGCATAAAAGAACAAAATGTAAATCTGAACTACAAACAATGAAAGAAAGAAATAGAAAATTAAAACAATAAAGAACAAGAAAGTAAATAAATTATATAAAACACAAAGAAAAATTATACTACACGCATGAAATAAATCTCATCTATCAAGCATGAAATAAAAATAAAAAAATAAAATTCTAAAATATATAATTCTAGAACAAGAGAACAAAAGGGGAAAATAATAATTTACATCACTAGGGGTTGTCCCATTGAAGGCAAATTTTCATCTTCACTATCAAAGAAGAGGAAAAGAAAATTTGAAAGAAGAAAAAAATTTATTTAGTGTAAATAAAAAGCTTACAATTTTTCGAAAAGCCTAGGGTGGTCCTCCTATCCAAAATAAAATTTTTAGAAAAGTTTCGCTCCCCAAAGCCCTCACTCTCTGCCCTGATTATAGCCTAGTCCAATGAATATTAGCCCCTAGATCAAACTTAACTCATAAACTACATAATTTTAGCCTTTAATCTATGACTATATACTAGGTATCGATACAAGTACGAATAGTAGTATTCATACCAATATCAACATAGGTATCAGTACTGCTATCGATATTGGTATCGGTACTAATATTGTTACTAGTATCAATACAACTATCAAAACTTCTTTGGTTTGGAGCTTTCTCGCTGAAGTGCTTGGGCTCGTTTGTGTAGGGTTTTTATGGAATGCCTGCCTTGATCTTAGGCTTTAATAAAAAGTTTAGAAATGAGGGAGTTTAAGTTCTTTTGTGCTCTTGGTCATCAATCTTTCATTACCTACAAAATTGACATAAAAATACTTTATTAGAAGATATTTTATTAAAATTAAAATTGATAGTGAGAGTTTAAAAGTGTAATAAAATATGATGATCAAATACACCACACCTAAACTTTTACTAGTCCCCTAGCAAAGAAAAGAAGTAAAATGGAAAGAAAGAAAAATTATAACTCAATTTTGTAGGAATAACAGTATTATGTAGCACATACAACAATCCTTTAAACCCCTAGGTTGTCCTAGTGGATGAATTACAATCCCGTGCGGTGCTATGCTTTTGCCGACGTTTTGGTTTTTGCCAACGCAGCATGTGTTGCCAAAAGTACTAATTTTGCCGACGCACCCTTGCATTTGAGAAAATTCTGCATACCTTTTATCGACACAAAATATTATGCGTCGCTAAAAGATGTACTTTTCCCGACGCATGAAGCGTCGCCAAAAGTGTTGATTTTTATCGACACAGGTTGTTTTGCATCACCAAAAACTTTCCTTGACCCACTTTTGGCGACGCGTTAGTGACGCTGCATTTTTTGTCGGGAAAGATATTTCCCGCCGTTTTTTAAACTTTTGCCGAGGTTTTTGTTTCGTCGGAAATGCTGTATTTTGTTGTAGTGATATTTTGTTGTAATGTTGATGTTATTGTGATAAGCCCTATACTTTTGTATATATTGTATAGTGAGTTTTTGTGGATGTAATATAAAATAAGTTACGAGATATTTGTAAAATACTTTATACTTTTGTTTCTATGAATACTCTGCTTACTAGGTCACTACCCGTGAGTGGGGCCTGACAGCTAGAGGGGTTGATTCTTTGTTTTGGAGGAAGCTATTTTGAATCATGAATTTGATTTTGATCAAAGTTGGAAAGTATATAATTAGTTAATTGGTTGTAATTAGTTAGAGATAATTACGGATAGTGATAGGTGTATATTTGGAAGTTAGAATTCTACATATTTGGAAGTTAGAATTCTACCTAGTTTTAGGATTGTGATAGCTGGCAATTAGCTACCTATATGTATCGTGTATCTTTCTCCCATCAATGATACATCAGATGTGAATAAACTTCAAACTTTTTCATGGTATCAGATCAGGTTTGAAATTTTTTTTCTTCTACGTTCTTAGCCGAGAGACAGACTTGTGAGATGACCGAGACGGGCCAATCGAAGAAGGGGATGGATTCTTCATCGCCTTACTACTTGCATCCGTCGGATAATCCAGGCGCCATCATCACGTCATGTTTGCTGAACGAGGAAAATTATGATATGTGGGAGAAAGCAATGATGAACGCCTTCAAGGCCAAGAACAAGTTAGACTTCATCAACGGGACCTTGACAAAACCCAAGCCAGATGAATCGGAGGCCAACAGTTGGGAGGCGTGTAACTCGATGCTGATCTCATGGATTTTCAATTCGATTGAAAAATCAATCTAGTCAAGCGTGGCGTACTTAGAGACTGCAAAGGCAGTCTGGGACGACTTAAAGGAACGCTTCTCGATTGGGAATGCACCACGCGTTCATGAACTCAAAAGCGAGATCTCATCGCTTCGACAACAGGGCATGTCTGTAATGGCATATTACACAAAGTTGAAAGGGATGTGGGATGAATTGAGCAGCTATTCCAAGATCCCTACCTGTACCTGCGGTGCGGCGCAAGAGTTTATCAAGGAACGAGAAGAGGAGAAGCTTCATCAATTTCTAATGGGCCTGGACGATGCAGTATTTAGGACGGTGCGCTCTCAAATACTTAGCATGGAACCTCTGCCATCGTTGAGTAGAGCTTACGCGACTATCACACGTGAGGAGCGGCATAGATCTATTGCACGAGGCCAAGAGGAACGAGTGGAGGGAGTAGCTTTAGCAACACAAGTAGCGGCGAAAGGGAAGAATGTTGTGCAAAATAAACAACAATATGCTGAAAAATATTGCTCAAACTGCAAGAAGTTGGGACATGAGGTGTCTGAATGCTTCGAGTTGATCAGCTATCCATCTTGGTTCAATCGAAAAGGGGGCCGCGGACGTAGGAAAATTGAAGGCGGACGTGATCGAGACCAACAAAATTGGAACACTAGACGGAGTCAAGTCACAGCGGCTCATGTTCATCAACCCTCGAGATCAACTGCTAGTCATGCAGCCAATCAGAAATCTATACCAGGTCTGTCAAATGATCAATTTCAACGACTGCTGACCTTTTTGGATCGGCGCGATGACAGTTTTGAAAAGTTATCTGGTAAGACTCTTAAAACACCACCTTGGATACTTGACAGTGGGGCGTCAAACCATATGACGGGAAGGTTGGATTTAATATATGACGTTAAAGAGGCAGTTCCCATGCTGGTTATCTTGCCCAATGGAACAAAGACTTCAGCGACAAAAATTGGACGAATTGTCTTGAGTCCTGAATTGACTTTAAATAATGTTTTATATGTTCCAAACTTAACTTGTAATCTGATATCTATATGCCAACTCATAAGTGAGTTGAATTGTCAAGTAATGTTTACTAATAAGCTTTGTGTGATACAGGACCATACCTCGAAGAACCTGATTGGAGTGGGTGAGCCACGAGGGGGGGTCTACTACTACAAGCTTATAGAGTCACACAAGGCTATGAAGGCACAAAGAGTGGACTCCAACACATTATGGCATCGTCGGATGGGACACCAGTCAAGTCAGAATTTACATTTTGTTCCTGATATTAGTAGTTTTAAGTCGAAGAATAATGAAGCATGTGATGCTTGTTATCGAGCGAAACAGACACGCTCCTCTTTTCCTATCAGCAACAATAATACAGTTAGTTGTTTTGACTTGATACACTGTGATTTATGGGGTCCTTATCGCATTACTTCTTCTTGTGGTGCCCACTATTTTCTTACAATTGTCGACGATTGTAGTCGTGCTGTTTGGGTTTTTCTATTAAAAGAAAAGAGCGAAGCTAGTAAGCGTCTAATAGATTTTTGTATGATGGTCAAGAATCAATTTACAAAAACTGTAAAAAGAATTCGTAGTGATAACGGGTTGGAGTTTGAGTATGGACCGATGCAAAAATTCTATAGGGACAATGGAATAATGCATGAGACTAGTTGTGTGGACACACCACAGCAGAACGGGAGAGTGGAGCGAAAACATAGACACATTTTAGAAGTGGCTAGGGCACTTCGATTTCAAGTGTGTCTGCCAATTGAGTTTTGGGGAGAATGCATCTTGACAGCGGCTTACTTGATAAATAGAACTCCTACCACTAAACTTCATGGAAAATCACCTCATGAGGTCTTATTTAACACTAAGCCATCATATAGACACATTAAGATTTTTGGGTGCCTCTGTTATGCTCACAATAATCCTAGGCATAAGGACAAATTTGGGCCTAGGAGTAGGCGTTGTGTTTTTGTGGGCTATCCTTATGGGAAGAAAGGATGGAAGTTGTACGATCTCGAAAAGAATGTATTCTTTTCTTCACGAGATGTTTCATTTCATGAGGATGTCTTTCCTTTTGCTCAAGATATTGGCCAGGTTGATCAAAGAAAAGATGCACAAGTGACTTTAGGATATTCATTTGATGAGAATCAAGAGCCTGAAACACTTATTGATGGTGAACCACAGCCTCGAGGCGAACAAATCGACACTATTCTAGATGAAAGGAGAGGTACAAATGAAGCAAGGGATGAAAGTGTTCAGAAGAATGTCGTAGAGGAGGATCATGGGAGGCAAAGAAGAATGACCAGGAGACCGGTGCACCTAGACGATTACGTGGTGTACTCAGCACGCATTGATCAAAAAGGCTACCCAGGACAGGAAGACAACAAACTACAGAAAATGTCTATTACATCTCTGGTCACAAACTTTGGTTCATCAACCTCAGGAAACTACTCTCAAGGTCTGGCCAATCAGCCTCAGGAAAGAGCTCCAGTGATTGATAGAGCTCCACGAACTCCGACAAGCAAGCTGAGGCAGGTAATTGGGGACAAGCTGTTGATATCTACAATAATGCAACTTCAGCACAAGTTAACCTAGTTATATCAGAAGGTGTCGTTGCATGAAGTGTAAAACTCATTGTACACAAACTCCCATTTTGTCCAATTTTTCCTGAGCATCAGGATATCGTATCCAGGCATCGAACTGGGCAAAATCAAGAACAACTTGCCAAAGTGAAGGTAGACCCCCTCTTCAAGCCTCCACGACACGAAAGGTTCTCAGGTACTCCTTATCCCTTAGCTAATTACGTAGCATTTGATAAATTCTCTCATAGGCATCGCATATTCCTGGCGGCAATAACATCACAAGTGGAGCCTCAAAACTATTCTGAAGCGGTGAAAAGTGCACAGTGGCGTGACGCCATGTCAAAAGAAATTGCAGCCTTGGAAGCAAACAAGACTTGGACGGTGGAGAGCTTGCCGACCGGGAAGAGACCCATAGATTGCAAGTGGGTCTACAAGGTGAAGTACAATTCTGATGGAACTGTGGAGCGCTACAAGGCAAGGCTTGTGGCGAAAGGATTCACCCAAATTGAAGGTTTGGACTTCCATGAAACCTTCGCGCCTGTAGCAAAGCTCGTATCAGTTCGAGTCTTCTTGGTGGTAGCAGTGTCAAAAGGATGGGAACTGCATCAGATGGATGTCAACAACGCTTTCTTGCATGGTGATTTAGAGGAGGAAGTTTACATGAGGCTACCACCGGGCTTCAAAGCAGATAGAGACAACAAGGTTTGTCGACTTCAAAAGTCGATCTATGGACTTCGTCAAGCATCACGAAACTGGTTCTCTAAGTTAACAATAGCTTTAAAACGGTATGGATTTGCTCAGTCTCTTGCTGATTACTCGCTATTCACATATCGGAAGGACAAAGTATTCATGGGATTGTTAGTATATGTGGATGACATCATACTAACAGGGAATGATTCGGAGGCATGTTTAGACTTCAAGAGTTATCTGAAGAAGTGTTTTCATATCAAGGATTTGGGGGCACTCAAGTATTTCTTGGGTATAGAGGTGGCCAGATCGCAACGAGGGCTATTTCTGTGCCAAAGGAAATATGCATTGGACATAATATTGGAGAGTGGTCTTCTTGGATGTAAACCCGCTGATTCTCCAATGGAACAGGGACAAAAATTGGCGCTAGCAAAGGGTGAAGAAATGGAGGATGCTTCGGTTTATCGACGTCTAGTTGGGCGACTAATTTACTTGACAATTACTCGCCCGGAGATCTCCTACTCAGTGCATGTGTTGCCCTAATTCGCACAAGCGCCTAGAAAAGAGCATCTCGAGGCAGCCTTGCGGGTAGTACGCTATCTGAAGGGTAATCCCGGACAAGGGATTTTACTACATGCGGATAGTGATTTGAGGTTGTACGCTTATTGCGATTCTGATTGGGCAAGCTGCCCAATCACACGACGATCAGTGACGGGATATTTCATCAAGCTCGGGCAATCACCCATATCCTGGAAGACGAAGAAACAGAGCACCGTGTCTCGATCTTTAGCAGAGGCAGAGTATCGTGCGATGGCAGCCACTACTAGTGAGCTAATTTGGTTGAAGTCCCTATTAGCGTACTTGACAGTTAATCATGAAGTGCCTATGAAGTTATACTGTGATAGTCAGTCTGCCATCCATATAGCAGCAAACCCTATTTTTCATGAACGGACGAAACACATTGAGATAGACTGTCATTATGTGAGAGAGCAACTTCAGGCTGGGAACATAATAACAGCTCATGTGCGATCACAGTTTCAACTAGCAGACATTTTCACCAAGGCTCTTGCTCGACAACAGTTTCAGTTTCTACTACACAAGTTGGGCATTTGTGATCCTCATGCGCCAACTTGAGGGGGAGTGTTGGAAAGTATATAATTAGTTAATTGGTTGTAATTAGTTAGAGATAATTACGGATAGTGATAGGTGTATATTTGGAAGTTAGAATTCTACATATTTGGAAGTTAGAATTCTACCTAGTTTTAGGATTGTGATAGCTGGCAATTAGCTACCTATATGTATCATGTATCTTTCTCCCATCAATGATACATCAGATGTGAATAAACTTCAAACTTTTTCATGGGGTTTAGCTGAGTCTTCCCTTGTTGCGAGCTAGAGGTTGGATTTCAGGTAATAAGTACTTAAGCTTTCTCATATGTATAAGGACTTATTTTGTACTCAAAATAGAGCGACTTGCGCTCCAGTTTGTATGGAATTCTTTGTCTTTGCCTCGACACTCTTTTATGTTGTGGCTTGTGGTCTGTGGAAGGATTCTAACATATGATGTACTGCAGCATGGGGTTAAATCATGAAGCAAAGATTGTGTCTTGTGTGACCATGCACGTGAGAACATTGAGCACTTGCTCTTTCAATATGCTCTCATATTCTGCTTGTGTTTAGAAGGAGATAGCTTGAGGGAGCTTGGTCGGAGAGAGATCCCATGGCTTGGAGCTCTGAGTTGAATTGGTTGTGTACACAGGGGAAGAAGAGGGATCCAAAACGGAGAGTGTTGTTTGCTGTTTAGCCACTTGCGTTGGTTAAGAAAGTGATTGTTGAAGTCATTGTAAGAGTTGGGCAATATGTAGTTCTTTAATGTAAAAGTTTGGTTTGAAAATTTGCTATGAGTATTGTTTGGTTAGTGAGGCTTGTTCTCAATGAGAGTTTTTGTTACAAACTGTTGGGTTATTCCCTCCTACTTGGAGGAAGAGCCCAATATTTTATTATGGGCTATTTACCTTGTGTTGTTTTTCCATATGGGTTACTTGTGTCTTGGGCCCATATGATGTTATATACTTGTTATGACCCAACAAGGAGTGATAAGGGGATGACTAAATATAATAGGGATTGGGATCCTCTACTAAGGCATAGTGTCTCCTAATATCTCCTAATTCATCTTAACTTTTCATTGCATAGTACATCCTCGTATTTTGTGCTTATACACAGAATGAAAGGTGGAGATGCATTAGAAGATATTAGGAGACATTATGCCTTAGTAGAGGATCCCAATCCATATAATAGGAGCTGCTGGAAGCTTCTGGGAGTGTGTAGAAAACACACCATGAAACCACAGAGAAAAAAAGGAGAGTCTTGGGTGCTGAATTTCTTCTTGGAGCAGTTCTGGTGTTGCCGCTTGATTGAGGGTCAAACGTGCTCTGATTGCAGCCAAATTTTGATACTTTTTTCCTATCATCCCAAGCTTCATATCCAACGGTTGGATTGTCATTTTGAGCTTCCAAAGTCGGTATTTTATTTTCAGCCCTAATCTCCATAAAATTGTTGATTATCACTTGTGAGTGAAGTTTATGGAGAATTGTTGTTCCAAGGTTGTTCCTTGATGATTATATGTACCTCTAGTATTATCTAGAGAAGACAATTAGTGTACCTACTTATTTTACTGGTGATTAGTGGAAGAGTTTGGTACCGGCCTCCGGTCCCATGGTTTTCTCCCCACATTGGGGTTTCCACGTAAACACTTGCGTGCTTTATTTATTATTTCTGGGCTATTAATACTTGCTTTGTTATTGACCATATTTGCTTTGATCGGTTGAATTTTCCCATCTGACAACTCAATTGGGAAAGTGTGAACAGTTTGCTTCTGCTTGCTATTGTGTATTCTGTGTGCACTTTCCTTAACATCTTGGTATCATAGCTAGGTTCAGATGGAAGAAAAGAATAGTTTTCCAGGAATGTTTGTGTTTAACTCTAGTAATTACTCAGATTGGAAGATTAAAATGGAAGATATGTTGTATGTGAAAGATCTTTATGAGCCAATCACAAAGAAGGAGATACCAACATGAATTTGAGTCAGACTGGAGGATTTTGAATCGGAAAGCAGTTGCAACGATTAGACAATTTGTTGATGTGAGTGTACTTTAGCATATTGCAAATGACACCAATGCTTATGAGTTGTGGCATAAGCTAGAAGGAATGTATGAGCAGAAAAA